GTGTAATTTCCATGTTGTACATTTTACTCTTTTTAAATAATAGGCTGCTTTACCAAAACTTTGAGAACTACTAATGATGCTTGACTTCTCAAACTTTCAAGTACTTACGTCCACCCCTAATCAGGCAAACAAAGAAATCATCTGTTTTGTGATGACCTAAGGAACATGTGAGAACATTACAATTTGCTTAGCTCTCTTACATTTTGTAAATGAATACATATTAACAATGGACAAGGCAACATCTGACACCCTTCTTCAATAATCTTGCTCACAAAAAACTGACCCCTGCCTTTCATGAAGTTCATGATGTTCATGCTTTTTTTTCTTCGTATTTAAGATCATTTAACTACCTGTGTAAGTTAATACACATACATGTATCTAGTTTCACATCACCTTCAACAAATTCATTTGTATTGTTTGCCTCTGTATAAGTGTTACAAGAATAATTTTCCAGTTATTTTCAAACCTCAGAAGTTTTCTTTATCTTAGGCTTAGTATCTGGGATCCTATTTTATAGAGTATTGTTTTCTTTAAAAGCAGTTAGCCAGTTAAATAGTCATGTTAATAATGAATTTCTCTGTCTAACTTCTGTCAATGACAAAAGTTTCCTATAAAAACTACTACACTAAGGTAGATTCTGCCTTCTACCATTTAAATGTAGAAAAACACTGGGTACATCTATTTGCAATAAATCAGGTTTGAAAGCACAGCATTTTTTCCTGTTTGGCTATGACCCAGCAAATGTTTGGCTTTTCAACACATACACAAAATATGGAATTTCATAACATTTGGTTAAACCATCTGGAACACTGATTGTATAATACCTGTTCAGTATTTTGTTAACAGGACTGCACCTTAAATGCAGTATGATTTAAAGTTTCTTTTAATATTAATGACGTAGGTATTTCTGATATCTGAATCTTGAAATTTAAATCTTAGATAAGTGGGCAGTTGACAAGCACCTGAAAGTCGACTTTTTTGTTTAATTAAATTCAGAATCCTGTAACACTGCTTAAATCTGTTAAAATTACATTATGCAGACAGGTTTAAATAAATTGTAACCTGGCCTATGCCTCTGCATATCAGGTTTTACTGATCTGACATACATATCTAATTAATGTCTTATTTTCAGTACATTTTTCTGCATATGCACATACCTTTGGGCTTAAATATAATCATCAGGAGTAACTATAAGGAAGCACAAAAATCATAGCAAAGTAGTCTTAAAAGACTCTGTGAGAAAGTAGTCTCCATGCAGTACCAAAAGAGTAATAGACAAAATTATCAATCAGACGTGACTATAGTACTGAAATACCCAAACACCTTACATTACACCAACCAAATCAATAAATTCATTTACAATAATTTGTAACTGGCATTAAATCTGGTACATGTATGTAAAACTTTTCACATGTTTAGATCCAGGTGAGCCCCCACCCAAAATATATTTTCAAAAATATAGTATACATACTTCCTCTAAATTCTAATAAACCCAAAATGTAGGCAACAATTAAACCTCAATACACAAACAATATATGCAGAGACCCAGAAATTACAAATACTACAGGTGGACTGAACCAGTATGCCTGATACAATCAAGTGAGGAATTAATTTCCCTAAATTGTCCATCAAATTTCTGACAAGATAGAATTTCAATTTTGATGTAAGGACAAAATCCTAAATACTTCTTGAAAAAGATGCTACAATGTCAAAACATATTTACATAAGATACAAATAAAGCCTGAACAATCGATGGAAAGCTTTTAGCTTTTAATCAATCATCAACAGCACTCTTTTTAGCCCAAAACATCAATAAGTACCACTTCTGACGTTAATTTCATACCAATTCAGTTATAAAAGGTCAAAGGTTCCTAGTTTTTCCTATTGAGTACTTGATAATTATTCCTGATAAAGAAAGATGATCAATGCAGCCTTGTTCCGATATTCCTCATTTATTCACAAAAAAACACTTTAAAACTCCATTTTCCCGTTATCGTTTCAACGAATCACCAAATAAACAATTTGTATTTAAGTATATTACACATGTAAGACATCACAAACCAAAATTTATGAAAACAATCCTAGGTCAATAAAGAACGTGGATTACATCCATATTATGGAAACAGAGAACACCATCAAAAATATACATGCAATAAAAAATCTCAGAATAAACATTGTTCCTTGACAAACATTTTGCATCAGACAGCATATCATTATTGGTCAGACAGAGAGACAATCTTGAACACTATAATAAAATGTGTCTAAGTTACTCCAACAGTTATATCGGTAAGATATAAAAATCTGCCGGGTACATGCATGTATATGCCATCGCAGACAAAGTTGAAAAGACTGGAATTTTAACTTCCTAATCTGCAACTGGAATATCATATTATAGTGTGTTCACTAAGGAAACAGACAAATAATCTATTAGTAAACTGAAATTATAAAAGATATAGTAGCAAGAATACATACAAAATATAAAGATTGTATAAGGTCCTTAAGGGAAATCTGTTAAGTTTTCCAGTATGTCATACTTATAATGTGTGCTTACAAATGAGTTCCTTGTTTTAAACATATAAAACATATGCAATTTTGGAAGAATAATTCTTGTTTTGAAAGCCTTAAGAAAGAAGTTTTATCTCATCAGCAACATCAAAGTACCATCATGACCATTTATATGCCATAAATATCAAATCATGTCCAGCACAATATTCTTGTCCAAAATGACAAGATGAGAAAAGTATTGATTTACATGTCCATTTCTTTGACAGTATCCTTCTGATCAATTACAAGATAATGAAATGTGACATAGAAATGGATTTCCTGCTAAAGTAACAAATCTCTTGTATCAATACAAGGGAGAAATCAGATTTGTGATCCAGATCATTTTATTATCTATTATCATATGACATGAGAGTTCAAGGATATGATAAACTGACTTATATAACATTTCTGAATAAGCAAGCACTCACTGACCACTGTATTGATGGCCTTTATAATTAACATAGTCTATTTCCTCCTTTGAATAAGACCTAATTTGCATCAAGTTATTACTACATGTACATGTACCAATCTTTTAATTAAATGCATACTAAATTAACTATCATCTCTTTCAAAATATCACTTGAAGTTCAATTTCAACACGCATAATAAGTACTTACACAAACACATGGAAATATGTTTCAATATTATTGACCCTTCAAAGATGATTATGACATGGAAGTCTTCAATAACAAACCATTACTTGTTCCTATGCAGTTTATAGTTATCTGAAAACTTTGCTTTCAGTGCATGAAGGGGGCATTATCACAGCCAGAAATATTTTTACTAGCATGTGCAGCAAAATAAGAATTTATCACACAGGACTTATATGCATCAGTGTTCTCCCCAGGATTTTTGGATAGCACCAGGGTAACGTGTGTGGACAGCTTGGTGAAATATATCATACAATCAGTTGTGTCGCATCGGGTCGCGTCGCTTAGCTCTATTTCTAGTTATTGTAGTTTTTATGTCTCTTGTTTTGTTTTAATACTGTGGTACTGTGTTATGTAGACATTGAGTCAGAAAATTATTGGTAAAAAAGAAGTAAATCAAAAAACAGTTTGTATACTGTAATATTTTTTTTAAATAAATAAATTATGATTCATAATAAAATATTCATCTGAATTTAAAGTATTTAAATCTTTTATAAAATCCAAAATCAATAAAAATAAAATATCATTCAAAAGAGAACAAAAATGTTTAATTTAAAAAACTTTCTAGTTTCTAGAAAGAAAGTTGTTGTATGTGAAAGGATTCCTGTCATAAGAAGATATAAAATTAACAAGAACAATTGCAAATATTGTTTCATTATTTGAACCAGTTTCTATCTTAGATTTTAATAAAAAGAAATTTTTCATAAATTTTAGAACATTTTGCCATAGATTTCATGTAAATATTAAAACCTTTCTGGTCTTTGTTGATAAACAAACACAGATACAGACTTAATACTGCACTGAAATCTAAATCTTTATTTGTCATGAACCATTTAAAAAAAAAATCCTAAATCTATAAATTTATCTTTGGTCTATAGATTTATAAGTAACCATATTCAATGTCAACAACTAAGTCTCCCTATTTTCCCGCCTAAATGACAGGAAGTAGATATAAATAGAATTAACATGTGCTTATGGATAAAATTTGCAAGATTACTTCTGTTATTCATTAATTATGGATATAGATATCCAGTTTGAAGGTACAGTCATGCATTTTATTTATAAAATAGAATAGATTGCAATTAATTGTAAATAAACTTGAATATTCTACGTGAACTAATTGGGTCATGTGATACTACAGTTTGAAACCCGACTATCATGCAATAACTATGTCATATTACTAAGAAAATATTGGCCATGGTTTAATCAGAGACATATAATACTATAATATAAGAATTGAGAAATGTATAATTGTCAATTATATGTAATGAGCCACCTTTATGATGTACAAAAAAGGTACCTATCGGGTCAAGACACTGTTTGTGTACAAAGTATTTGCCGACTTGTCACAGGTCAGTGCTTGGGTGGTGAGTGAAGCCATAAATTAGTTATCTGTGATCATAAAGTTATGAACTCTTAATTAAAACATAAAAGAATCATGTTACAAGTGTTAATTACATGTACATCGATTAAATCCATTCAACAAGGTTAACCTCATAAGGTAAATCGATCACGTGATGTAAACAATCTGTGTTGAACTGGTTTGAACTGGTCAAATTTCACCTGGAATTTTATACCGCACGGAAAAGATTAAACTAGTCGTTTAAAACTTTACCAATTTACGATTTTTTAACTGAAAATTTTAGCACCACGGAAAAAAATTATACATCGCGGTAAGAACGATACCACCACGGTAAAAAATTATACATCGCGGGCCCGCGGTCCTTTAAGGGCCTGGGGAGAACACTGTGCATGATATGCTATTCACAATTGACAGTTTAGCAGATGATATTTTTAATACCTTACCTCTAGAGCCAGTGGCCATGTCAGCCACTTTCTGGAAGGCATCTAAAAATCCTCCTATTGCTCCAAGTGTAGCTCTAAAAAAAATTGTATCTACATGAATATCAATTAGTGAAGCAATATATACTTTAGCTTAAGGTGTTACAATGCATTCTTCAAAAGGATTTTTTTTTTACATCAGAATGAGTAGTAGATGTCTGATTAAAGTTCAAAGAATAGGAAAGGGGGTAATCACACCTACCCTTATTTCTTTAACATCTTTAGAGTTTAAACTAGAAATAATGCCTACTATTAAGATGGTATGGTGACCATGCGTACTTGAGTGACAGGTCCTGTCTCAATGTAGTTTATAACTACAATTCCTTTTCTATTCATACCCATCACTTTCTGAAGTGGGCGATATATTGTGATGGGGGAGTCTGTCCGTCTGTAAATTCAATGGTCCTTCTGTCCAACTTCTGTATCCTCAACTGCTCCTGAACAGCTTGACAAAATTTTGTGTAAATAAAAGCGTCACCACCAAATTTCGTTCTTAATCTGTATTATGTAGTAATAAGCATTGTGTATAAGTTTCATAACATTTGGTTGAGGCAAACTAAAGTAAGAAAACGGAAACAAAAAATGTGTACTTGATCTTAGTTTTGTGGTAATGAATATTGTGTATAGGTTTCATAATGTTTGGTTGGGGCAAACTTAAGTTACAGAATGGAAACTAAAAATTTTGCAATCTTTCGATTTATAAAGGGCATAACTCAATAATGGTTAAAGTGACATTACGCAAATTCAACTTGATCTGTGTTTTATCAGTGGAAGTCAAATTAAACATTGCATTGTATAAAGCATTGATTATAGTTGATTCAATTATAATCATGGACAAAGGAAGATAACTCCAATTTTAAAAATTACTTGATATTTAGAAGAAAATAAAAATTTTGCAATTTTTCCATTTATAAAGGGGCATACCTCTAGGACGGTTAAAGTGACGCCACCAAAATTTAAACTTGATCTGTGTTTTGTGGTAATAAGCAGTGTCTATTAGTTTCATAACATTTGGTTGAGGCAAACTTAAGTTAGAGAATGGAAACTAAATATTTTGCAATTTTTCCATTTATAAAGGGGCATAACTCTAGAACGGTTAAAGTGACGTCACCAAAATTCAAACTTGATCTGTGTTTTGTGGTAATAAGCATTGTGTATAAGTTTCGTAACAATTGGTTTAGGCAAACTTAAATTAGTGAACGGAAACCAATTTTGGGACGTACGTACGTATGTAAGGACAAGGGTAAAACTTAATGCCCCCACCGGTACGGCGGGGGCATAAAAAAAGTATAACAAAAATAACAAGCTCCAAGGTAAATTTCAAAATGGGGTAGTCCATAAAAACTGACAAAATCAAACACTTTCAATCAATGGATAGAAATGATAATGCCAAGTGGGATACAAGATGCAGCCCTTCCTGTATTACCTAATCCTGACCTTGACACTGAACAGATCCATCAACCTGCATATTTATTTTTATCAAGAAATATTATTAAGTAATATTATTAAATTTGAATATTAATCTTTATTTACTCCCAACAAAAATAAATCTATTATCTACACATAATCCTGTAGAGGTCTGAGGATCCAGAAATAGCTAACAAATTGACACAATCATACAATCAATGACCAAAGAATAATCTGGCCAAGTCATGGGTCATTCTGCTCTGTAACAGTATGATTATGTAAATAATAAACTATACAGTTGTTAATCAGTAGTACATCAGTGACTAACAGTAATGTATACTGAGGGAACTGACAAGAATTTAGGTTTAGGTTTATAGAAGATCTTCTCGATTGGTATCTCGATCAGGATCCTGTGCTATTAAATGCATCGCTACTAAAATTTTCCACAACTAGATTAAGAGTGGTGTGATTGAGAACTTGACTATTGTTGGAGACTGCAATGGTATAAACAAATCATTAATGTCTATTGTTGAATACTGTATATTGTCCTACAAGTCTAGATATCTTCAGGGTTTTTTTATTATATTGGGTACTTGACTAATTAACATACAACAAACTTCTATTCTTCTCAAAATGTCAAATCTGCTCAAATTTTATGAAAATATCTTCCAAAATGCAGATACCTTAATCGAAGCCTTTCTAAAGTTGAAATACATACAAATAAAGAAGATAAGGTACTGTAATGTCAAATATTAATATATGTCAGTATGCTATTCAGCTGTATGTTCAGAAATTCATGGTCCATTCACAGATGTTTGCAATGATACCAGGAAATACCCTATCTGTGTACTACATGTATGGAACCATATGTATATACTAGATAAGGAAATAATTGAAAACTGAATTAGTCTTCTGTAACAGCATTTACATGTTCAATTAGTAATTATCAGTAATTATTTGAATAATTGATGGGATAGAAAATCAGTACATAGTTCAATTCTCTTAGCCTCTGATTTAAGTTCACAATAAATGTTGTACATCATCTTTTGATGATTGATTTATTATCATCTATCTGGGTTGGTGGCCTTTAAAATGACCAGTAAACTTGGCAGATGTTCTCATGCCTACAGTAAATGGGAAAAGTCTTGAGTTGTTGACCATAATTTCACACTGACCCTTCGAATTCCACCATAAGTTGTCAAGAGTAGCTAGGACCTACATTGTACATGGGTTGATCGATAAGGGGAGATTTCTTTCCAAAGTAAAATTACTGTACCAGACCTGGATACCTTGAGGAATTTTCTTCCTCATTGCCACTTGTAGACAGGAAGAAAGAATTGGGATTAAGAAAACTTTGCCCTGTTTTTGACAAAAGCTAAGACCAAATGATGTAATATTTATATATACATTAATTTTAAACTTAAACCTTTAAGTATTAGTAACATGGGAAAGGTTCCACAGTACAACATTTTTAAAATCCTTAACATCATGTAATATAAAAATTTGTATGTAAAATGTTTTTATAGAAGCATTAGTTTTAACCTTGAAATCCAATTTCCACAATTACGTCTTCTATGATAAATTCTTTATGTATTTCATATAACTCACGAGAAAAGCAATTTGATTTTAGTTGTTGATATGCACACAAAGATTTAAAACCTATTTTAACATTCAAGTTAAGATAATATCAAAGTTTTACAACAACATGTTTTCTTCATTTTTAGTATATTTTTGTGAATGTCACAGAAATATTTAAAGGGTCTCCTTTAGTTAATATGTCTAATCTTACTGTTTGATGTACAGCACACTGGATTACAGAAGGCAATTCTTCATACAGACCTAAGAAATCGATGTAGAAAATAGAACAGGCTTCTTGGCATTAATATCTCAATCAATCTCCTAGAGGATTATCAAGTACTACTTTGTAACAAAATTGAAACCTTTTCTATCAATGTCTGGGCTATTAATATGGCTAAAATTTAATCTTATTTCGATGATGTTTATAAAGAATTATGGATTTCCGATAGCTTCAAGCTAGTAAATTATCCTCTTCCAATATTTCATTTAATTGGAAAGTCCAGACAAATAATTTTCAGGTAAAATGGGTATATTCCGCTGTTTCCACATCCTGACATCGGATTTTAACTTAATGTGTTTGGGTGAGGGTGACTTATCTTCCCGCAGACTGTTACCTTGTGTACTAGCATGTTATAAATCTGACTGAAGCTTGTTTATATGTATATCACATTAACATACATGTATTCTGGGGTCCTGGTGTGCATGTAACATTTGCCAAATATATTCCAATGCATTGTCATCATCATCTAATAACTCTGGTGTAGACTATTTCAAAATCAATTAAATTACTTATTACACTTACTTAAGAGAGGAATGAAGTTTTGCAGCTTTACTTGTAAAATCTTCCCATATAACTGAACTACCCTGAAATGATAAACATGATAAAAGTTTTTATTTTGGTGTTAAATTGACAAAATCTGCAGTTCACAGGTCCATGAAGTCCAGAGACAGTCAAATTTCAGGACAAAGATAGGCCTTACTTTTAATGCCCTTATTTTTTTAAGGTAAAAAATTGTGTATGTGGTTATAAAAACTATATTGCCATATATGATATAATATTTCTAATGTTTATCAGTGACATACATGTACACTGATGGTGATTTACATGTACCACTCTTCAAGGCAGGGTGAAAGTCTTCCCTGACAAGACTTTAACCTTGCCTTAACCAGCTGATCATCTAAAGATACATATGAAGCATCAGAACGTTTAACTACTATGTTTTATGTGTATATCAATAAGTACTGATAATATTGTACATGTATAATGTTAAACTTTTAAGACCATTTTATTCAACTTGGTATTTTCTATTTACATGGTTTATTAAACCAATTCCTTATTATCTTTCAAACAAAGGCCTTTTAAGAGTAAAACAACTTGTACTAAAGAGAACCTATGATGTTTTGTATGATTTGAGATAAAACAATATTCATATGAAGTATGTCTTACAAGGATCCTCCTATGAAATTCAAGTACCAATTGTATCATTTACACAGGTGAATGTACTCAAATCTATTAATAATATTGAAGGAATGATGACTGTGTAAAAATCTGCTGAAATTATACATGGTCAAATTCACCAGATCTGTCAGTTCTATGAGGTACATTTTAAAGTGAACTTTAGTGAAGGGGCCCATATATCATATACATTGTATATAGCTAGATTTGTCTAAGGATGAAATATGCATGGATCAGTTGTGTTGGTATTACTTGGTACCTTTAATATATTAAGAATTATGTTGGCTATAATATATTTCAGTATCCACACATTCATTTTAAACCTTCCACCAAGCATAAAAAAGTGAGGGAGTGTTGAGGTTTTATTTTAATTAGTTAAGGAAAAGGGTGTAGGTTCATCTGAACACATATAACATGCTTATGTTATACATGTATCCACCCATTAGACTCAGCCTCATGATTCATAATCAATCTATTTTTGGCCGTGACCTTGTTTAACTTCCCTCTCTTTGATATCAACCTTACATCTATTTTGATTTATAAAGATTTTCAAGAGTATCTTATCATCATACAGCAATAATAATAAACATATATCATATCTATATCCATATATTTGTATAGATATAAATCAAAATAATACACCATTTAGTTCCTATTAATTAGAGCAGGTGAACTAACGACCCTTGATTATTTTTACCTGTATGAATGGTAAGAAGACCACCCATAGTTTTAACCTGGCATTACACTAATAATCTGTCTATTCAAAAAGTTTTTTTAAGACTAAACAAAATAAGTATTTAACTCAATAAAAAATCTGTATCTTAATGTTATTTATGTAAATAAACAAATGTGAACAGACTGTAATGTTGTCTCTCAGGTACTTGTGTAAGTCTCATGTAAGAATAAACAATTATGTTTATTCACCTGCTAAATGCAAACAGGAACTGTGAGATTACATGACCAGACTGACCACCTGTCTTTCCATAAACATGTACATGTATATTGTCAGTTATTAACTTCTATTATTTTGTAATAAGCACTGAACAGTTCAGTAAAAGTTCATGTATGATTATTTTAAATGTGTGCAAAGTTTTGTATTCCCAGAAATGATCCATAAACTTAACCCATATGCATTCTTCTGTTGTGTCAAACGCTTACAAATTATTTTTTTTGTAATATATATATATATATATATGTGTATATTGGTAAAAATACAAATATACTCTTATATATATTCTCTTCATAATTCAAAAATACAAATTAATATTCTTATATATATATACATGTATATATATATGCAGGGTAAATACTGTATTTTTGCATATATAAGATAAGATATTTTATTTCCCATTATTTTTTTTCATATATTATATATACATACTGACAGTACATGTACTTGTAACAATGAACAATACTAGAAGGTGACAAAATTGGCTGGGAAATATAGTTTTTTATTACACATCTAAATTGAAATTTTGAGAGAGATATATTCTGGTCTACAGGATATACTTTGAGAAACAGGGGGAGGTATACTTAAGCATGAAAATAATCTATAAATATGACAAAAATGTACTCAAACTTCTTGTACCAGTAGTATTTATGTGAAGGACTTTCAGGGGAAAGGTTACAGAAGTACTAAATCAATATAATGCATGAGTCATAACCTTGATCATGAACCTAGAACAAAAGGTCAGAAAATGGATTTGTCTTTGAAGAGGTGTAAACTGTCATATTCAGGCATGAAAATGTAAATTCTCTGAAATCAATCACTAAAAGAAAATCATGTACAATGTACATGTAGCTTCTGTTCACATTTTATTCAAAAAATGTAATTTTTAGACACAAGATTTTATCATACATGTACATGTACCAGTTTCAGTGCATAAACAGTATTCAACTTGTATTTGAAACTCTGGGAAGATATTCATAAAATTTTGGGATTGTCAAATCCAAAAAACCTAATATTACCAAACAGCAATACATCATCAACAATTAAATAAACTAAGAAGGCCATTGAATCTTATACTTTTTTTATATAGCGACAGTCATTTTCTTAACACTATATATGCAAAATATAAATGTGTTTTTTTTTTGTTTGTAAGTTGAAATTGATTGCAATGTAATAAACAGTGAAGTCCAATCAACCATGCACTCTCATGATATCATCTTAACCATGCATGACTGATTTTTCTTTATGTTGTAATAAAGATTATCTAGTTATCATTCATCTTTGATTGATCAAGGTATAAAATTGACAAGGATCAGAATGGTCAGAAGAATCAATCCTGTAATCATTATTGATGGGATGTCTCCTCAGGCCTTTCTCAGCACCAAACTTGATAAAGATGTTTGGAATGACCAGTTGTAATTAGTTACATATGAATGTCAATAAATTTTGACCCTAAGTGAGATAGAAAGGTATCTTGTCACCTTTTTCTGATAACTGTCCCACATGAACATGGAATTTCTGCTTGACATGTTGTACAGATGCCCTGAATCTTTAATTAGTAGTTCAAAGTTTTGAATTCAAAACAGTGTAAATCAAAAGTATTGGCCAGTCCTCTTAGGCAAAAAAAAAACCAACATTTTTTTATCATTAAGGTACATGTATTGTATAAATAAAAAAATGTCAGAGAAAAGTGCCTGTGTCAGCTGTCTTTCATTTTGTAAAGCCTTTAGAAATTTAACAATTTTTTAATCCACTTTTGTCAGTAACATTGAAAATAAAATACATTTTATACAATTCTTTACATGAATATTCATCAAATTTAAAAATCAATATATGTGTACATAATTTTCTAATTGCTAGTTAGAAAGTTTTTGTTTGAAAGCCTATTTTCTTACAACACATGCAGACTCATGACTCAGCACACACAGATGATATTTCTATCCAGCTGTTCAGAGAATGTTATCTTAAGGGTTCACAAGTGATCTCTGACCTTTCATTATTTTTGGTTAACTTAAAAATACATACATATTGAGAGGGAAACTTGTTATCAAATTTTCATCTTTTTGTTATGTTTACAAAATAAAAATTTTAAATCTGTTTGCGCATGAGTTATTTCTTTGGATGAAATAACTTTTTAATAATAGGATTTGGTGACAGAATTTCATGGTTGAAATCAATTTACAACTGACTGTGGGTGAAATGGTTTAAATGTAAAATTATGTGCCACAGAGTAAGAATATTCTTTTATTCCTGTTTTCTCAAAAACTTGCATTCTGTTTTGCATTCTAAATATTAGGCCAATTACTGAACAACCTGAAGTCTCAATGTGGTATATATATATCATTACAGTCTTAGCAGTATTTCTAATTACAATGTACACCATATGCATTTGATGTTCTGTTGTGAAATTAATTTTATCATTTGACAGGAAATATTTTGTTTATGGAATATGAATAAAACTACAAAATGTAATTGTGTGTAAGCAGTAAGCTTAAGGGACAAGAGAGAAATTTATATATAGTTTTCTGTTTTTCTGTTTTTAATTGTTTTTTATATACAGAATAAAATACATGTACATAGATTTCTAATTCACTGATGATAGCTGTTATTATTTGTGAATTAGTTGAAAACCAATTTCCCCATACCAGTATCCTGCTTAACATGATTGAAAATGTAACATCTATTCTTTTCATTTACACAGGAACTTATTCAACCTCATCTCAATCATCTCAAACATGCACTTTTTCTCAGCACTAAATAAAGAAATTGAAAAGACTTTAAAAGGACTCATCCAAGTGAAAATCTTACACATTTCCAATCACACGGGAATGTGCAAATATAAAAATGAGGAGATGTGATATGATTGCCAATGTCAATGAGACAACTATCCACTAGAGTTAAAATGAAAATGCAGTAAGCATTAATATAATGCATGTACATGTAAAGGCCACTGTATAGCCTTCAACAATGAGAAAAATCCATAATGTACAGACGCCAGTAAAAGACCCTAACAATAAGACATGACAAATGTGAAACAATTCAAACGAGGAAAAAAACGAACGTCCTTATTAATAACAAAACAATTTCCAAAATAAAACTAATCGGAGACATGAACCAAATGACAACCACTGTACTACACTCCACAAGCTCCTGACTTGGGACAGGCACATAAATAATGTGGCAGGGTTAAACATGATTGTGAGCGCTCAACCTTCCACCTAACCTATTTTTACTCATTTGATGCTAAAGGTAAAAAAAAAAGGGCGATTGGTAATAAAGACCTTTCCTATCCTCAAAAAAGGAAATTCTTTTCACGACCTGGTCACTAAATCTGACTATAGAATAGTAGTAGTATTCCATGCTAAGACTTTTACGACTATACATTTTTTTTTAATTTTCTTTCAAAACCGATACTCAGACGTCTGCATATAATTCTGATAAAGCATGTTAGCAATGACCGATAAAAAACATAATATCTCAAGAAAAGTGGGGGTGGGGTGCCCAATCTCTTTCATCATGTCCATGATGAGAACTTCTTGTTACAACTCACCCTCATATCATTTATAATTGTCTGAAACAACATTCCTAGAGCACTACAATCTTTATCCATCCCTCCCTCCATTTGCTGTTGACTCATTGTGGACATATTCCTTTTGTTACATATAATATTCCTGTATTTGAATATTGAAAATAAAGCACCTCCGATCACAACAAGGCGAATCGATAGTGAAAGTGAATAAAATCTAATCCGAAATGAAATAAATACACACAATAACAGACCCTAAGTAATCCATATGGAAAATGGAACCTCCATTCCAATGGACAATTCGAAATATATACAATTAATCCTGTTTAGGGTAGTTTTTCAGTCATTATTGTCCTCAAACATAAGCGTGTTAACAGAACGGATATCATTTCCGCTCTGATGGCAATATATGACTGTGATCACGTGACAACACAATACAAAGGCTATTGGTTAAGACTGGTAGTAACAAATTAAAAAAAATGTCATCTTTTACTTTTTTATTCTGGTTAAACGTGAAGACGTTTCCAGGATAAAACAATTAGATTCTCCGATAAGATGAAAATGACATTGAAATATTAAAGTTCAATAAATTTTCCACTTGAAATTTTCATTTGTAAATAAACTCATTTGTTACTTTTTCCTTACTCCTAACTGGGACTATTATACTAGTCCCAGCTCCTAACAATTTCTGCAAGCTAACTTAAGTGTCTTGATACAAAAAATGTGATCCATGAATGCATCGATTTCGATTTACGCAATTAACGTCGGTGTGCCTGACAAACAAAGTACATTTTAATTCAAAGGCTTTCAGTGACGTTCGCGCTAGGGATCATGTAGGCTAACTTGACGTCGCATACCAATTTTTTTTCGGATTACATACTCGCCTAACAAAATTTCCCATTATAAACAAGTGCCTGTGGCTCGGCGCTTATTACACCATTACAGACAATAACAGCCCTTTCATAAAACCCTTGATCCGCCCTGTGAATGCATGGCCATAAATGAAAGAGGAGGTATGATATAAGAGTCATATTTAGTCCTTACCTTAAAACTGCAAAAAAGAAAACTCATACACTGACTGTCACATTTTAGAATTGACACATTTGACCGATATGATTCTTTTACACGTAGTTATGGCCAACATACAAACCACATTATTATCTTTGTATAAAACATATTCTAGCAAAATATTCAGTTTTTTTGGGGAAAGGCTTTGGCTCATATCTAATTATAGACACGTTTTAAAAAGAGCCCATCATTTGTTAGATTTTGCAATTTTGCACTAAAAGTAAGTTTGAAGTCCTGAATTAGTTTGAAACGTAAGACAAAATTTAAAAATATACATACTGATATCTGAAAGACTCAAGTTTTGTGAATATCAGAAGGATTTATTTTATAGATATATATGCTTCAATTTGATTTTCGATTTAATGGGCCAAGTATGGCCTGAACAGACCTTCCCCTTTATCTAAATAATCCTTCATTAAAAGTTGTCATTATTATAATCAGACATTGATATTAGAATTTCTCGAGGTAATCTTCATACGGGAGCTGCCATTTGATTTTTATGGGGGGGGGGGGGGGCATTTTTTTAGTTGTAATCTCTGTTCTGCCTTTTTATTTTTCACTCTATTCGGTCCTGCCTTCCCTTTTTCTTTAGTTTATCCCGACTTTTTTTTTACATAAATTGTCATCCTGCCCCTTTTTTTTGCAAAGTGTCTCATCCTGCCTTTTTTTTTTAACTCAAAACTCCTGTCCTGCCTATTTTTTCAAATTTCATCCTAGCCCCCATAAAAATCAAATGGTAGCTCCCTAACGGGTAAAATTTATGACAAACTTTTCCATTCCAAGAGTTCCGGTTTTTGACGATGATATTCCTATTGTAACTTATTTATATATATACTTTGGTACTGACAGGATTTATAACAAATATTTTTAAAATTGTCCGCGTTTATAAATTTTAAAATTATTCAGAAACTGAGGTTTCAACTCCCTCAGGCAAAGTTGACCGTAGATGGAAAAGGATATTTTTTTAGGTATTTTTGGTCATATAGCTCTTAACTGTTTCGGTTATTATCCATCACTGGCTTTCAAATTCTCGGCTTTGAGCGTTCCTGCATGATGAAGGTAAATCCAGAAAAGCGTTTCGGACGCATTGAATTTATAACGTGTTGTTTTCATTTTTTATATAGTCTCAAGTACATTTCTCAGTTGGTCCGATATGCGTATATGCAGTGGTCTGTATAAAATTTCAATGAAAGTACCGTTTTCATTACTAAAGCTAAGACAACAAGAACCCAATCAAAAACTTTTACATCCGGGATATATTTAAATTGGTGAAAACTTTTGAATTGTTACAAAAGATATACATTTAGGGATATATTGTTGACGTATGATTCCACTTGCAGGATTTTGTAAATAAAAATAACAATAAAAAATAAAGACACACCAGGAGTTTTTATGGTAATATTATTTAAAAAAGCAAACACATTACTGACGAATTGATCTGCAAGTGAAGAGACTTTCTTGATAAGGTTACACAGTAAGTACTGTTGTTAAACTGAGCATTGTGTATATTGATTCGTATCCTGAATTCACTCATTAAACAAGACTAAAATGTATATTATGATATATATATATAAAGTTTTGCACCTCATGTTTGCGGTATACCATCTTTTCCACAAGTTTATTGTTTTCTGTTTGGTATTAAATTCATAATTAAGATCCATTTTGTTACATCTGGTGATCCGTTTATTTGGCAATCGCTATGGTAGTCAGTAGGGTTTAAGAACATCCGTTGTTCGACCTGCTAGTCAAATGCGTTTTGTTAAAATATACTTTTTCACTTTTTTGGTCTTTTGGAAAATGTTGTTTGTGCTTTATTTAGACCCCTCTACCAAGAAATTTGTTTTGCATGCACACGTATAGAAATTGCGGTTTTTATCCAACGCAATCATAGGTTTGAACGTTGTTTTCAATTTAGACTTGTATATATATTACTTTTTCACTTTTTTGGTCTTTTGGAAAATGTTGTTTGTGCTGTATTTAGACCCCTCTACCAAGACATTTGTTTTGCATGCACACGTATAAACATTGCGGTTTTTATCCAACGCAATCATAGGTTTGAACGTTGTTTTCAATTTAGACTTGTTTATAATTTTGGTTTGGGCTTGTATTATATTTGCCTTCGGGTTTATACAATCCGTTCATCCTATTTCGACTCTTCAAAATTCAGGAGTCAATCCTAAATTGAGGTAAATTATATATGGCCTTCCAAATACCGTTTCGATTCCTAACATCACTGAAGAGACATTAATTGTCGAAATCCGGATATGGTGTACCAATTTTTGCACCTTATGTTTGCAGTATACCATCTTTTCCGAAAGTTTATTGTTTTCTGTTTAGTATTAAATTAATAATAAAGATCCATTTTGTTACATCTGGTGATCCGTTTTTTGGCAATCACCATGGCAGTCAGCAGGGTTTAAGAACATCAGTGTTCAAATGCGTTTTGTTAAAATATACTTTTTCACTTTTTTGGTCTTTTGGAAAATGTTGTTTGTGCTGTATTTAGACCCCTCTACCAAGAAATTTGTTTTGCATGCACACGTATAAAAATTGCGGTTTTTATCCAACGCAATCATAGGTTTGAACGTTGTTTTCAATTTAGACTGAATAATAGCCAACGATAAATCTTACGGGGCGATGGATCATATAAATATGATACAGTACACTACAAAATATAATATATAACCAGTCTAAAAGGGTACAACATCACCAAAAAATGACAATAAACGAACAAATGTAACTATAAATATTTCGGATAACAGATATCCTTCATCAATATGAGCACGATGTAAAATGAATCAGATAAATCTATTCTGATTATTAAACTATAGCAATCTTGAATTCTATACAATAAAAAAAGTGAAACAGTTTCACCCGAACATCATATGTAGAGACGCTAATAAATTTTTAAAATTTCCAAAAAACGACTCAAAGACATGCCTAAAATGAAAATAGTAATTATAGATATGAACTGGCACAACTTTAAAATTCCAAAATGACGTCAGTTAAGATGTTATAACAACTGCGTGTAAATACATTCCCAAAAGAACAGCACTGATCGATATAAGCTGGTAAAATATGACAAACAGAGGCTGCGTATTTATCATTCCAAATAAATAGCAGTTTTATAATGAAAAGAAAAAATAATAGTAAATTTGGGCTAAGGTTAAAAGTTGGACGTGGATACGTACTTGTATATCCCTACCAAATGAAAAGAACCCTGGTTTTTAAACTAGTAAAATTCCAAAAATTCCAAAAGAATCCTTAAAACTGTAAGAGTCAAGTAAGGAATCCGGAGTAACTGGAAACAAATGATGTCAGGAAAATGAGTGATGGTAGGGAAAATGAGTGACTCATTCTATGTTTTTTCATTTATGCCCTCTGGGGAAACTGTCCTTAGCTTTCTTATCCAAAACCTTTCCCGAGCAAGTCTTTCGGCCCTTGACCAACCCTCACTTTAATGTCCTCACTTTAATGTCCTCGTGACAGTGATGTACACCTTATGAATATTCCATATAAACAAGGACATTAAAGTGATCTTCAACCGTCACCAGGACAGTAAAGTGATCTTTTCCAGTCACCAGAACATTATAGTGATCTTCTATATATCATTTATTTTCTGCATTTACAAAAAAATCAGTACACATATACTTTAGGCATTGTACCAGATCTTGTCTTTCTGCACTGTTCACTATATTGATGTGCCGTTGTCAAAACCAGATGATACATGAAAAAGCATAGCATGATTTGACAAAAATACCACAAAGTACATTAAAGTACAAGACCCCGTTAACCGCCACCAAAACCCGACTACTCTGAAAAAAAGACATACAACGAACAACTCAGTGTCCAGGTAACCTAGCATTGTACAGACAAAAAATGTCTAACAGGACAATACGATTTTATACATCAAAAGGTTTTCTACTTTTAGCTTGGTTTCGTTTATTTCAAAGGGGTTTATTTTGCCTTTTCTGTGTATCCTTGGCGATTCAATTAATCGAGATATGCCTCGCCTGCTTTACTGATCATGATTGAATTTTATGTTGAAGGTCTTTAAGAAAAAGATCCTACTTTGTACAGGTATCACATAAACTTAACATAATTAAAGATCCTTGAAAAAAAAGTTCAAGGTCAAATGAACCCTGGAAGACGGACATGTTCACCTTACAATTATTCAATTAAACACATATAGTTGACCTACTGTTTACGATACCTTAGAAACGAACCACGAAAAATTTATATCGAACAATCAGAACCATCATAATGAGGCCAAGGTCACGTGAACCCTGCCAGACAGCATGTACACCTTATGAATATTCCATATAAACAAGGACATTAAAGTGATCTTCAACCGTCACCAGGACAGTAAAGTGATCTTTTCCAGTCACCAGAACATTATAGTGATCTTCTACTGTCACGAGGACATTAAAGTGATATTCACCAATCACCTGGATATTATTTTTGTCTTTATGTACGTCACCAGGAAATTAAAGCGATCTTCTCTAGTCACCAGGACATTGTAGTGATCTTTTCCAATCATCAGGACATTATAGTGATCTTTTCCAATCACCGGGACATTATATTTGTCTTTACGTAACCAGGACATTATAGTGAACTTCTCGTCACCAGGACATTATAGTGATCTTTTCCAATCACCAGGACATTATAGCGATCTTTTCCAATCACCAGGACATTATAATTGTCTTTATGTCACCTCGACATTATAGATATCTTTTCCAGTCACCAAGACATTGAAGTAATCTTTTCCAATCACCAGGACATTAGAGTGAATTCCAGTCACGAGGACATTATAGTGATTGTCTCTAGTCACCAGGACATTATAGTGATCTCCAGGCACCAAGATATTAAAGTAATCTTCTACAATCACCATACATTTTTAGTGATCCACCAGGACAATAAAGTGGTTTTCTCGTCACCAGGACATAATAGTTATCTTCTACCATCACAACGACTTTAAGGTGATTTTCTCCATGCATTCCTTTATATTATAGTTATCTTCTCCGGTCACCATACATTATAGTGATTGTCTCCATTCGCGAGAACATTAGAGGGATCTTCTCGTCACCAATATATTAAAGTGATCTTCTCCAGTCACCCGGATAAAAATGTGCTCTTCTCGTCATCATGCAGGACATTGTTCTGATCTTCTCCAATCACTAGCACATTTGAGTGATATTCTCAAGTCACCAGGACATTGAAATTATATTCTCTTGTCACCAGGACATTCTAGTTTTCTTTTCCAGTCACCAGGACATTATAGTCATCTTCTCACCAGCAGGACATTATTGTGGTCTTCTACTGTCAGGAGGACAATATATAATGGTCTACTCATTAGCAGGACATTATAGTTATCTTCTCGTCACCAGGACATTACACTGATCTTCTCCAGTCACTGGGACGTCTCAGTGACTTCTCATCACCAGGACATTAGTGTGGTATTCTCATGTCAGCAGGATAATATAGCGATCTTCTCGTCACCAGGACATTATAGTGATCATCTCCAGTCAACAGGACGTAATATTGATCTCCTACAGTCACCAGGACATTATAATTATTATACCTATTACCAGGACATATACTGATCTTATCCAGTCACCAGAACATAATAGTGGTCGTCTCTAGTCAAAAGGGCGTAATAGTGATCTTTTCCAGTCATCAGGACATTACAGTGATCATCTCCAGTCCCCAGGACATAATAGAGATCTTCTCCAGTCATCAGGACATTATAGTTATCATCTCCAGTCATCAGGACATACTAGTGATCGTTTACAGTCACCAGGACATTATAATTATCATATCAAGTCACCAGGACATTAGGGAGCTGCCATTTGATTTTTATGGGGGAGCTAGGATGAAAAATGTTGTCCTGCATTTTTTTTGTGTTAATCTCAGTCCTGCCTTTTTATTTTTCACTCTATTCGGTCCTGCCCTTTTTTTTTTAGTTTATCCTGCATTTTTTTACATAAATTGTCATCCTGCCTTTTTTTTTTGCAAAGTGTCTCATCCTGCCTTTTTTTTTACTCAAAACTCCTGTCCTGCCTATTTTTTTCAAATTTCATCATAGCCCCCCCCCCTCCCCCCCATAAAAATCAAATGGTAGCTCCCTTATACTGATCTTCTACAGTCACCAGGACATTATACTGATCTTTTCCAGTCACCAGAACATTATAGTGATCGTTTCTAGTCACAAGGACATTATAGTGATCTTCTCCAGTCACCAGGACATTACAATTATCTTATCCAGTCACCAGGACATTACAGTGATCTTCTCCAGTCACCAGGACATTACAATTATCTTATCCAGTCACCATGACATTATAGTGATCTTCTCCAGTCACCAGGACATTACAATTATCTTATCCAGTCACCAGGACGTTATAGTGATCTTCTCCAGTCACCAGGACATTACAATTATCTTATCCAGTTACCAGGACATTATAGTGATCTTCTCCAGTCACCAGGACATTACAATTATCTTATCCAGTCACCTCGACATTATAGTGATCATCGTTTTGACATTGAAGTGATCAATATCAATTTTAAAAGTTTTGGTCGAAATGAGGGCTCAGTATCTTTAATGTCTGACCAATTGATCATTTACAATGATTTTAAACATTTCAAATGTCAGTATCCAGTGCATTTGATACATAAGGATTTAGGAAAAAGTCAAATATTCTTAGTTAACTGATTATCCATTATTCACATTAAAATGTTATTTCAACTTCTTTGTTATAAATGATTGAAAAAATACATATCTAAGAATTTTGAAAAGAAAAAATTGATATGGGATGTACATATTTATGGTAAAATAATTTCTTTGTACCCTGACCTATTTTCTCAACATTTTGGTTGATGACACTTACCAGATTGGTTATAAAATTTGAAATTTTTATTACTCAAAAACTACTTAATATAAGTACACAATTTTTTCACAGAGTTTAGTTTGATCATAATACTCTTTATATATATTTATATAGACTGAAACCTCAGAAGAATACATCCTTAAAGTCAAGTGATCACAATTGTGCACAATAGATCAGAGAAAAAATGTGAATTCCAAGGAAAAAATGATGCACATTCTGAAGGAGTCCAAGATTGCACTGATGTCCAATGGCCTTTTTTAGGATTAAGGCCCCATGGAACAAGAAAATCCTAAAAGAGACTGCCAGATGTCAGAGCAATCTCAGAATTTCTCACTTATTCTGAAGAGGACACCTGTCTTGTGTACCGCATGCATAAAAAAGGTAAGCAAAAAAATACGGTGTTTTTTTTTCAAATCTATTTGACCTAATGCGAACAAGGTTCTAACTATCTATTCCAAAGACTCCCACTCGTGACAATGTATTTATGTACATCTTTTTGATGTTTGTTTTTTCGGCTTCAGATAAGTTTTGATGAAGATTAATCCAGAAAACCACTTTGTTATGTTTCAAAAGATTTCCAACTCTTCTTCAGACTTCATTAAATGTAATTGTTAGGTTGATTGGTTAAAGTATAATAGACATATATTTTGGCATAAGTGTTGTCATTTTGGCAGAGTTCACAACAAAAACAAAAGTACTAAGTAATTTTGCACAATCTTTGATGACAGAAATATGACAAGAAACTGTTGATTAATCATGTGTTTTAATTATTAATAACTTATTATTGCTAAGCAACACGAATGCACAGACAAGAAATATAAAGTAACAAAATAAAGCACTTATTCCATATATTTACATCTAAGACAATCTATAGCTGATAACAATATATTTAGATCAAGTAAAAAATGTTTTACGTTTTGTCAACACCTTATAAAATAACATATTAAAAGTTTTGAAAATAGTATTCTTAATGTCTGTTGAAGGTAATTCTTTGTTTTTAATAAAGTTTATATATATGTTTTTTTTATTTCATAGGGCATTTGTCTGCTTACCTGGTCCTAGTGCTCATCTACCCAAAAATCTTCAACTGGTTAAAACAATGTTTATTTGCTACATTCTTCATAAATGAGGGGCCTGATGGGTTATTTTCGTTCTTCGTGATCGGCGCATTTTCACTATCGTGATCCGTTTTTTCTACAGATTTATTTTTTTTTTATATTTTCGTGATCCGTGATCATGGAAATTTATTTTCTGTGAATCGTGATTGACAAAAAAATCAACTCGTGAATCGTGATGAGACCCTCCCCCCCCCACATCAGGCCCCTCATAAATAACCTAAGAGGCCACAGTGGCCAAGTGGTCTTAGTAGCCAAGTGGTCTCAGTAGTTATTCAGAATGTATTAGTACAGATCATATCAACAAATCTTAACCTTGGTAGGGGTCCAAGACTTGCTCTGGTCATTTGCAAAAATGACATGGTTCACTCCATCTTCCTGCATTATGCGATGAGGTTTGTCAGTGTTTTTTATTGTGTTTACCTCTGGTATATGTTTTTTGTCATCCAGCATTAGAACCGACCTTAACTGAATTTACAAGTGTAATAGAAAATTATGTGAAACGAATCCTACATACAAGTAAACACTGAAGAACCTTATGATAATTTCAAATACAAAAACATTCTTCCATGATAGAGTACCGGTATTATATAGATATAATTGATTGTAACTTTCAACTGACAACAGTAGGAACACATCATCTTAATTGTATGTCAGCAGAGGTGAGCAAATATAATCATTTCCTTTTTATCATAGTTTGCCTCAAGGTTTAAGAATATCATTAGCATTAAAAAAGAATACAAAAAATATCTACATTGTTGAACAGTACAGGAGGTAAAACTGTGTTGTTTGTTTGGTTTAACATACAATTCCTTTTACTCATATTCATAATGGTAGAATCTGCAAACTATCTCCCAAAAAGTCTTTCATATATATTCTAAATTTTCACTCTCTAAAAAGGAATAAAAATTACCATATCTATAATCTATATGTTAGCTATACTTTAATTTATTCTCACATTTATGACAAAAAGAATTTGATACAATAACATATAGCTTTTTAATAAATGTATAACCATGAATTCCATGGACACTGTATAATAGATATGCAAATTAAATGGTCAGTGGTCACAACAAAATGTACTTAATTCCCTCACCTTCTAAATAGGAAGTGCCAAGTAATTTGTCATTTTAACAAGTTTATCCATAAATATCAAATTTTGGTAAAATTGACATGATTACACCTGAGATGGTCAGATAAAGGACAATATATGATAGATGGTTTATGTGTGAACATTATTTCATATTCAACAGATTGTATTATTTCACTATTTAAGCAAAGGTATTTCTCTAAAGGAGAAGGGGCGTTGAGGCCCGGTTTTGGCCCAAGAAAATAGAATGTTTGACAACTATTTCAAATTGGCACATAATGTTTGGAAATGCATAGAGTCAAGAAATATAAATAAAAGAAAAATGATTGCTTTATCTGATGACGTCTCAATTACGTTATAATATATACCATTTTCATGAAAACGATGAAAAATACAGAATTTATGCAGTTTTCCATCGTTATTTCCATTGTGGAAACATTGCACCTAGTTATTAGGACAAATTTAAGAATAAGTATGATAACTTTTAAATTTGCAGTAATATTTGGGCCAAATAAGGGCCTTATTGCTCCTACTTCTTTCTATAAAAGGCTGAAGGGATTGTGGAGATGTAGACATTCAAATTATAAGATATCTTGGTCTTTCTATATATAACTTTAAAGTAATAATTTCAAAGATTTTTTCTACTTTTCAGCTTATTTAAACTTTTCCTGACAGATTAATTATTATTTCATAATTAGTATAAGTTACATTCTAATATGGTGTGCTGAAAACTTCACATGAAAAGAGCTATGGTAAAATACTTGATACAGTATGACCATTACAAATCAACAACACTACACTGTGTTTTGTGCATGAAAATATCATATGACAGCATAAAAAAACTGGCAACAAGCCTGATGATGTTGCACAGAAAAAAGAACACAAATTTTGAAGATTAACTTAAAAGAATGTCAAATTTCACCAATATATCAGCTTACATCATTGGAGAATTTCAACATTCAAATTTCAAATATTAACGTAAATGGCTAAGCATGCACTTTTTACATTTGAACATTTTATTGTCTCTGGTGCAGAAAAATATAAGTCCACTGAAATAAGTAGTAAAAATTTCATTTGTCTGAATAAGATATGGATTTAATGCATTACTCTTTTTTTTTTCATATGGAAGTAAAAGTACTGACTGAATTTCAGATAAAAGTAATCTAAAATCTCCATGTACTGTCTTTCAATTTAATATCTTAAAATCATTATTCGATTGGTAACAATAGATTATAATAACTTTTTTTTTATAGTTCGTAGTAGATTTGTTATTTCTTTACATGTCACACTTTATTGATATATTAAAATATTACACAAAATGAATCTTTTGAAATTAATCAAAACATGCCGAAAGGTTACAATATATGATATATTATGTCGACTTTTATGGTTAATATATTGTTTAATGCAAATGAAGTAAAATTTATATCTTATTACTTTATGATCACAATATATTAGTGAAAATATTTCCTTTTTAAGTCTATTAGGACTTGCATGAGTTCAGATAACAATAACAATACATGTACAATGTAACAAGAATGGTATGCATAAAACACTTAAAAACACAAAGGTCATTCTTTGTTACTATGGTGATAACATTTGATCAGTTTCCATTTTAACTTTAATCTTTATGTAACATAGCCTTTTACAACGTTTGTAGTTAATATTTCAACTATTAACTCAACAACTTGTATTCATGGAATACTTTAAATATAAACATTGAGATTAAGAACAGTAATTAATACAAGCGCTGTTCCTTTGATTTTTGTGTGCTTTTTGCTGTGCATGTGATTTTGTGTCATGGACGGATACCCCATATCCTTTGTTTTTCTATGAATGACTAGTTTCGTTGAACTTTTGGTTAAATTCTTAAAAAAAAAAAATTTTGAAATGCAAGCAGAGATATTTGGTAGTTGTCTAAGTTGTGAAAAAAGAAATTAAAAAAAGGGGATTATGAACAAGTCTTTTTGATTTGGATTAAATTGGCAATATTCAATGATTTTTTTTTTTATTTAATTTTTGTTTATTATCATTTTATCTTTCAGAAGATGATTTTAAAAAAGGCAAACTGAGTACAGATAACAATGGAGACCGAGGGTTCTGTTTTAAGCTGACAATTAAAGCAGAGAAACAAGACAGCTAATTTAAACTTGCATGACAGTTTGTTTAAAAAGCTATTACAGTCAAAAATTCAGAAATTAATGTGATGTTTCAATTACCAGTAACAAAACAAATTGTTCACAACTTTCTCCTTTGGTCTTTATGGATAGTTGTTTCATTGGCAATCATACCACATCTCCTTATTTCTATATTCAAAATTTACATTGAATTAATTCAAACTTGTATTTTTTTTTGGCTAGTTGTAGTCTCCTTCATAATGTTCAAGAATAGTATTAACTAATGTCATATTTTTGTCCGCAGTTGTTCTTGTTTGTTTACTGAATCTATGGTACTTAAATATTCAGCATTTGAATTATCTATTTTAATTCTATAATGTTTCATGAGTATCATCTCCTTGGTTTGACAGCAAAAGCTTTCTGTCTGTGTTTTTCTTGAACTTGTTTGAAATGTTGTAGTAAGTCTTGGAAATTAAGGTGAGATACAAATGGTCTCTGATCAGTTGATGATTTTGTCTTTTGCCTGAAAATAAAAGTAAAAAGTATTGGTTTTCAGTCATTTATGAAATGTCCATTTTAATTATTGACATGCCAGATAATCCATGTATGTAAGTTGGGATTAAGATTCTTACATTAATGCATACAGATATCCTGGTTGTCAAAAACATGTTCTATAAGCTGGAAGTCCAAACTCAAATTGACGTTAGATTACAATACACTGTGGGAGATCCTCTTCGATTTTCAAAAAGGAGGAGGGGGAAGGGGTGTTGCTGGAAAAAAGTCAGTAAAATGTACTTAAAAAAACATGAGTTTTTGCCAAAGAGAGGGTCCCGTTAATTGAAAAAGTTTACAACAGGCAATCAAAATTATACTAATAATTAACTGTGCTGACCCTTCAGGCTAAGTCAGCTAAAAACATATATGTTCATTAAACATAAGGTACCACCTCTTGTCTGAATCCTACTTCTCATCTGTCATGGTTTAAGAAGTATATGTTAAGATTATGAACTAAGTACTGAAAGAATGTCAATCAGTGTCTGACTAACAGCGACTGTTCAGTGCTAGAAAACCAAAACTTCAAAACAGTCCAGGAAACTAATGTTCTAACAATCAATAGTAGTTGACACACTTATATGTTCGGTAATAAACCAAAGTAAATCATTAGTTAAAACAGGATTAGAATCGATCAACAAACACAATGACAATATAGTTACACAAACAGTACCTAAGATAAAGACCATCTGTAGGATTCAAACATAATACCCAGAATGCAGATATTGCAATTAAAAACTGTATATTCCTGATACTTAAATCTACTCTTGAAAAAGACTTTAATTTACTCTTGAAAAAAACTTAAATCTACTCTTGAAAAAACTTGAATCTACTCCTGAAAAAAAATCAAATCTTTTATACACTTGAAAAAAATTTAAAAACAAATTTTAAACTTCCTAATAAAACAGAGACCTTGCAATGAAGGTGAGAGGGTTTTTCTTGGCTTTTTTTTTAATAATTTCTCTGCCAGAAAGTTTTTGAATACATCTGCTTGCAGCTACTGCAGTGTAAATGCCTAAATGAGACATGAATTAGCTTAAGCTATATAGACAAAGTGGTATCATAAAGAACATCCCAAATTCACTACAACTTTGACTGGTCACAAACCCAAATTAGAAAGAACAAAAAGTTTATCTGCAGCAGCAGGGAAGCCCCTAATTTCATTAGTTAATTCCAAATAACACAGTAATGACAAAAAAAATAAATGAAGGAATCATAATTGGTTTATAAATTTCCAATTTACTTAAGATTTATTTTTGAACAAATTATCAATTAGAAAATATATAAGTTTCACTCACCTTAAAACAAAATTTTCACAAAATACAAAAAGGATTAAGCCTATAAGCTAGAATACAAACATTAGAATGATTTCTTTATTCGCCAAGACTTAGGAAGAATAACTGAAATCACACTACTTATAACAAATCAATAGAAACAATGTATTTTGTGTGATAGCATTTATCTGAAGTAACTGTTATATGCATACAGCTGAAAGAAACTATGTTGCAGTGCACAACAATTCTACAGCAAGTCAAAACAGAAGTCAAAAGTTTACCAGCTAATCAACACCATGCTTATTAAATCCTACAATCTATAAATTGTCTTCCATGAGGGCAGGATAGAGGTCAAAAGGTAAAAGTCAGTTAATGTTTGACATATTTATAAGCCCATAATGTTCATTATTGTTTCTTCTTATCTTAAAATCACTAAATATAGCAATAATAGATTTAATAAATAATGAAAGTTTTAGATGTGCTTATATTTATATTGTTATTACTTCTGAAAGCACAACCAGCTGCAGATTAATTGACTTTACTACATAATTAAGTACAACTAATTTCAATGATTTCATAAACTATATGCACTGGTTTCAATTATATTTATTAGCAGGTTATAGCTTTTAGCTTCATTTCAAGATGACTCATTTATAAATACATTTCATTTGTCCTCCTCTTTTATTACATGTATATAATTTTTCTTATTTTTAAGCCTTCTCAAGGCTACACTTATCCACACTTCCTATTATGTTTAACCACAAAAATGACTTCATCTAAGACTAATCCGCAAACAACGTAAATTGGAATTAGTTTATATAACCTGCGTATAATTCATATTTGTTATTTTATGAATCACAGCTAATAACATATTGTTTTAGAGTGTCAGCATTCATCATATTTACATATAAAATTAAGGCAATTTAGAATTATGAATAAATATGTAATTTTATATATCATATGTAAGATTATTATAGATGTGTTGGTGTGGTGACGATAATACAAACAGGTGCTTACTTCACACCTGTATTTGTTTATCCTTCAAATATTCCAACACATTTATAATACTCAGGTGAAAATGAAAGTGTTAAGTGCATTTCATACTCCAGTGAAAAAGGAAATTTTGTACAAGATATATGTGAAAAATTAAAGTAGATTTTCATATATATATCCTTTTATCATCCTCAATACATGATCTACGAATTGATGCTTTTTCCTGTTAAAAATTTGACATCACAATGCAAAAATCTTTAGTCCCAATGTCCTCTGACACATTTTCCCCCAAATGACCCCAGGTCAACTCAGGGGCCGTTCATTCACAGAATAGAAATTGGAATATTGTGTATTGTAATATGTGGAATGAGATTTTTGGTCATCTGTGTATCCCCTTTTCTAATAATGAAGTGACACAAGCTAATCATATTTGAGTAGCTTACATTATTCCTCTGCTGAATGTTTTAGTATTTAAATATTACTAAAGGTACACAAATTAGATGACAAAGATGACCAATTCTCAACTGACATCAAATAAGTGAGCATTGGGCTTATATGAAAAACACTACCCAGAGGTACCCAAGTGTAAAATATACGTCCCCAGTTGGATAAACACATCCAAAATTTACCAGAACCATTTTTCACAATATACCGGGTAATTGTAATAAATTTGTGAATTATCAATATTATAAATTATGAACATCTTAAATAAAAATTTTCATCTGAAACACTTATTCCACATGCCAAAACAAAAAATATGGTAATCAATTTAAGTTCCTCAGATGATTAACTAATAGACTGTTACTTAATACTTTTGTGAGTCCATAGCTCTGTTTACTAATCAATAACCTCTAGAAAAAAATATGTTTAGTCCTTATAATGCTCAACCAAAAACAATCATTATGTTTTCTTTCAATTTCAACTTTCTTGGAACTCCAGGATTCCATTCATGTGTATAGTACATGAATATATCACAGTGAAATCAACATAATTATTGTTTACATTAGCTACAAAAGTAGTTTCGGCAACATGTCTAATGAAGTGTATGCCAAGAAAAAAATTCCATTTGACCAATCACATTCAAGTATTTGTAGATATGTAAATGATATTTGAATTATGATATTATACAATGATACATATTATGATGTTTTACCTCTGAGGTTAATTTGCCTAATTTAAAAAAAGGGGGTTTCCTCTGATGTGAAATTATTAAAATTAAGACCTTATATGCACAAATGTCACAAAAGCAAAGTTTTTTTCTTCAGGTGTGATGGTAAAACTGATTTCCAACAAACTAAATCAACTATGAAAGATTCTTTCAAAGTACAAAAGGAGACAATCTACCATATTATCAGAAGAAAACCACATTATTTTGTTTGTAATGACCCATTTAAGTATGTACTGATGACAGGTTAACGCTCCAATTATCTCCCATCAAAGTTAATTATGTGTGAATTATCCCCCTTTAATCCTCTTTCATGTGATATATGATACAGTATAAATGGCCACCCAATTAGATATCAAGTTTATATTGATTTTGCTCACATGGTTTGTAAATTATAAATAGTGATGTGTACAGACTATTTGATGTCAGTATTGATAGCCACTAGGACTAAATGTCAACGTAATATGGGTGTCAAACACATTTGAAATGGGCCTATGGTTATGATTTTAGATCATATCTTTTGCAAGAAGTAATAGTAACATTTTTCACATAAAACTGTTTTATGAGTGGGAGTCAAAATGTATTACTTTTCATAATATTTTCTGATTTTTTTCCTACATTATTATATGTATATTGAATATGTCAGAACAGAAAGCTTAATACATAATCATTTTTTTCTTTGAAGATTTTATTTCAAGTACATAAGGATGAATTGTATTCAAGTTTTTCTTAAATAATCATACCACATCTTATCATTTTTATATTTACATCCTACACATAATTTTGTCGAATTTAGCATATATATGTGTTGGGGAAGGATTCTGTCTGTTGCATCCATAAACTAAGGGCTTCCAAGTCAGTATCTCTCACCTAACAAAAGTATGTTACATTTATACCTTTAAAAACAGTCACAGCCATCTTTATCTATCATACTTATCAATGTTATAGCTAAAATTTCCAAATAGAGACTCTTAAGAGCCTGTGTCGAAATGTGCATCTTCAACACTCACCATTTGGGCCAGGTGAGCTAAAAAGGATAATTCTAGTCATTCTAGGACAACAATGCATGTAAGGAGTCAATTGGCCCAAAAATGAGAAAAAATTGTTATTAAAGAACAACTTAAAGCACCTATAAGTAGTCCAGAGACAATTAAAAAACCATGTTGACTTATTTATCTAATGTTTTATTTTATTATGTATTTATATACTTTCAAGATAAAATATATATAAATAAACTGCTTCGCTGAGCGCAGCTGGATATGCCCGCAGAGGTCCAACCCTGAACAGTTGGGACAAAAATGGACACAATATTCAAGCTTGATACAGGTCTGAATTTGGATTGTAATTAAATATTTGACATATTATAGGTTTCTGAATAAATGTAGTCAAAGAACTTGAAATTGGTTATATGAATTCAATTTACCATTTCTTGCTGTTGTGCAATACACTGTGCTGTTGCGCAATACTTAGTAAATCTGTTGTCAGACTATAAACAAATAAAGTTCAATTTCTTCTCAATGTCATATTTGAAATATATGA